TGCAGAGTCTGTCCTCTGCTCAGCTAACGCTCAGGAATGGACACAGTCTGCAGAGTCTGTCCTCTGCTCAGCTAACGCTCAGGAATGGACACAGTCTGCAGAGTCTGTCCTCTGCTCAGCTAACGCTCAGGAATGGACACAGACTGCAGAGTCTGTCCTCTGCTCAGCTAACGCTCAGGTCTGGGCAGGACAGAGACGCAGCAGCGGAGGGTTAATCCACGCAGAGAGGGACGGGGTCGTTACCCCCCTCTACCTTTCATCCTGTAATCCAGACTCAGACATAACTACCCTCCGTACCCTCAGACCTTCCCTTGCTTCCTTCCCTCTTTCACTTCTTTCCTTTTACCCTGAAAGTTGGACGGTAAGGAGAACCTACATGTTGGATCTCTTTTATTTTAACTTTAACCTCTTTTATGATGGACCCCCCCCTTCACCATCAGCACCACATTTACAAAAGCCCCCAGAGAGGCGCCCCCGTCGCTGCCCGGTCACAAAGGGCCTTTGGGGTTTTCTCTGTAATCTCTTAATGAACTGCAGCGGAGGAGCCGCAGCGCCGCGTTTCCATATCCCATGTAAAGCAAGGCTGCCTTTTGTTTCTCCCTCCCAACTACAAAATGGATTAGCAGTTGGAGGTGGGGGGGTGGGGGGGGGCTGATGGGGTCACTCTCTTGTTTTTCTGAGGAGGCTCGTTTAAAAAAGAAAGAAAAAAAGGGCAGTAAAGCAGCAACAATGAGGTTTAATCTATGGAGAAGCAGTTAGAGGATAGCCTCAAACACGCAGCAACCGGCCTCAGCTTAACTAAACTAAAACCAGAGCTAGACTCAATAGAAACCAACCGATCTTCCTGATTTATGTTAAACTTTCTGTTTTTAATTTTATTTTTTATTTAAGTTTGTTTCCTAAATACTAATAAGACACAAACAAGTAGAAAAAAAAAAAGTCCTGCCTGTTATTTAATGAATAAAACGAAACGATTATTCCGGTTTCTGCAACTCAGTTTGGATTGTTTTCAACTAAAAGTTAAATTTATGGGATGGAAACGGTTTTATTTCTTATATTTGACGCATTTAATTAGTTTTTTAAGAGTTAAACGCGTGTTTTTAATTAAAAAGGGAAAAGAATTTTAGGTTTTGAAAAATCAGCCGATTCCACTCACAGTGATCGGTGCATTCTTAGTAATGAAGAGGATTTATTTTTCTTTAAAGTTTGAGCTGAAAAAGTTTATATTTATATTTGAGGGAAATCAGGTTTAAAAAAGCTGCAAAGATCTAAAAAGAAGCAAAAATGTTGAGCTGCGCTTCAAACACAGATCAAATCCGACTCGGGGTCGACCTGCTGACATGTTCCCACTTTCCAAATGATGCTGAATCTGCAGCTTCGTGGGACGTTACCAATCTACATCCTAGATCTATGTGGAGGTTAAAAGCAGCATTTTCTTTCCTTTCCATCATCATCATCATCATCATCATCATGTCCCCAGCCTAAAATCTATACCAACAGCACAACTGCTCCTGATATTTTATTGACTCTCTGGACGTTTGGAGCTGAAATGGTTTAATGTTTGTTAAAGAAATAAAGTTAATAAGTTAAAATAAAGAGACTCAGATCTTAATAATCCAGAAATGACTCTGATGTTTTAATATTATCAGAAAATATAACATTTTCAGAGAGAAACCAAAGTATCTGAGCTGTTTTTGAATTAGTTTGAAGGATTTTAACATGAATTCATTTATTTTTTGTCACCAAACAGCGAAAAAGTGCCTTTAAAAAATAAATAAAAGGTGCATTTAAGCACACTGCAAAAAATAGAAATCTCAATAAGTTAT